ACAAGATCAGAGGAATTGAACTAGTGATATATTATTGAGTTTAGAAGTGACATCCTGTTCATAAAAATGCCAATTAGAGAAAGAAAAAGATACGGATGAGAATTTAGTAGGTTTGGCAAAAGAGGGAGGGATTCTTTCTTCTCCTTTAGGGATCAGTTTTATGAACAAACAAAGGAAGCAGGTATGGGTTCTCCCTTGTCAGCAGTTTTGGCAAATGGAAGCTTTGGAGAAGGATTTCCTGAAGTCAGTAACTCTAAAAATAAAGTGTTGGTTCAGATATATCGTTAATACATTTATTGTCTTGTCCTAGGGATGTCCTTGACATCAGTTTCAGGAGATGATCAGCTTCAGGAGTTCTTCAATTTTTAACAACTGTCGCTGTTATTAGTTGACATATTTTTATTTAACACTTCCTGTTGTCTTTGCCTTTTTTTAATAAATCCTATTTATTCATAAATCATTGTAGTATATTAGTGACATCGATATGAAATATTTTTTTCATAATTATGAATTATTTCAGGCTGGATGCTTGAAGCTATTTTATTTTAATATATGGTTTTATTTACATCATCATTATGTATCATGGTAAATAACACTAAGGTAAAATTGAACAAACATTATAGAGCTTAAAAAAGTTAATTTAGTTTATTTCAAATTTTTATATTATTTAGTTTGTATTTACCTTAGTTTTGAAACTATAGTTTTCTTGATGTGCTATTGCTAAAAACATTTAACTTCAACATAACATTTTCTCGACAAAATGGTGTTTATGATTTCAAAATTAAACCTAAAAATTGTTAAAAACGGACGGATCCGTACCTTTTGCAATGTCATGTGCTTAATATGCCTTAAAGTAAGAAATGGAAATACTTCACCGACGGCTCTAAACCCGGCGGGGCGTCTCGGGGAAGCGTTCAACTGTTTCAAAGCACTCTTCTCTTTCTTGAGCACTCCCACGGCTCTTGANTTTCGAATAAAAACGCCAAATAAAATCGTAACGTCTCGGCATTTTTGTACAATTAAGTTGTACATTTTTGTTCTGGGTAGCAGATAAAAACCAAAGATATTACACAGTGTGTTCCACTTTGAGCAGCGCGCCACCTATTTTAGATCTATATCTGTCAATTTTAAGGCAGATCGGTATGTAGCTTTTGATGATAATTTTGTGGGACATTATAATTGTCCTAATCTATATGAAGAAATTATCAATGCCGATTGGAGTATTCTTCAACTTAATGATATTGATGAAGCTTGTGCTACAATCAATTATATAAAATTCTTGATCAGCACGTACCTGGAATAACTTCTACGCGTAAACAACATAGAAATATTTTTGAACCACATCAATGGGACATCAGCTTCACGAGGTGATCAGCTTCAGGAGATCTTCAATTTTTAACAACTGCCGCTGTTATTAGTTGACATTATTTTTATTTAACACTTGTCTTTGCCTCTTTTTAACAAATCCTATTTATGCATAAATAAGTACATCATGGTAATATATTAGTGATATCGATATAAAATATATTTTTTCATAATTATGAATTATTTCAGGCTGTTAACATTGATGCTATTTTATTTTAATACTTATATGGTTTTATTTACATCATCACTATCATGTATCGTGGTAAATAACAATAAGGTAAAATTGAACAAACAATAAAGCTTAAAAAAAAGTTAATTTAGTTTAATTCAAATTTTTAGATTTTATTTAGTTTGTATTTATCTAAGTTTTGAAACTACAGTTTTCTTGATGTGCTATTGCTAAAAACATTTAACTTCAACATAACATTTTCTCGACAAAATGATGTTTATGATTTCAAAATTAAACCTAAATTTAAAATCGTCTTTTAACTGACCCTACACGTGTCATAAAAATTATGATAATGTGTATGTGTAAAAAAATAATTGTGGTTTTGAATATCCCAGTTAGTAAAAGTCGATGTATAATGTGATTATGATTAATAATATTCATTATAAGTAATTTTACAGTGGGGTTATTAAAAAAATATATATGTCTGAAAATTCACCTTTATCAAAGTTTAGGGACCCATGTTCATGGGGACCTTTTAGTTGAAAAAAATATTTACAGAAATCCAATTTGCTCAATTTTTTTTTCGATGACTACAACTTCAGTTGTACACAATGTATTTAATTACCTTTGACTTATTTGTAATCGAGTAGCAGAACTGAAGTGACTTATTCAGGAGATCAAAAATGCACTTGTGTATAAAATACAATAATTCATAAAAAACTGTTAAAAACGGACAGATCCGTACCTTTTGCAATGTCATGTGCTTAATATGCCTTAAAGTAAGAAATGGAAATACTTCACCGACGGCTCTAAACCCGGCGGGGCGTCTCGGGGAAGCGTTCAACTGTTTCAAAGCACTCTTCTCTTTCTTGAGCACTCCCACGGCTCTTGACGCTTTACTAACTTTGCCAATTAATATTTTTACAATCCTGTACTTTATTATCCTTGTTATTATCCTTGAAGGAGTTATTCCTCTTCAGATAATTGTTCCGCAGATAACATTTCTAGTTAAAAAGGAATGAAAGGATTAAGATTTATTAGTTTGGGGGAGAGAGCCGGTTTATGCACGATTTTAAATTCAGGTGGTAGATGCTCCTTAATTTCGAAATCATAAACATCGCAATGTGGAGAAAATGGGTTGACATAATTTGTAGATACCCGTTCTGATGAGTTATGCAAACTTACTTTGGACAACGTCAACTTCAAAAATTTCGAGGACATTATTGTAGTTGCAATTCCAGATTCTAAAAATGGTATGTCACGTACGTTTACAGTTACTTCTCGTCTGGGTTTTGTTTCTCATCTAGAAATTTTCAAGAAATATATCAAGATTAGATTGGAAATTAAAACTGCAATTTCACGCTTTTTTATGCGCTATCAAGCAGGTAGATGTTACAACTAACCAGTCGGCAAGAATACCCTTTCTATGATTCCTAATAAAATTTACAGTTTTTGAAACTAGAACATCCTCAAACATATACAGGCCATTCATTCCGAAGAACATCGGCAACGTTACTGGCTAATATAGGAGTATTAGCAATCAAAAGAGACATGGTGGGTGGAAATCAGTCACAATTGCAGAAAGTTATGTTGTTGACAGTTTAAGTAACAAAAATGAAGTAACCAACAGGATTCTTTACAATGATACTTCAACAGGTTATAGTAGTACATCGCATCATTCTGTTTCAATGGATTGGACAGATAATATTGAGCCTCCGGTGACTGAAATGGAGCGGTCAAATCATTTTGAGAAAAATGTGACAATGTTAATAAACGCGAGGGGAATAATTATCCAGATTTTATAAATGTTACTAAATTTATGTAAGTATTAATAACAAGTCTTTAAATAGCTTATTGCACTAATTTTAACTAAAAATTAAAAAACACATTATCTTTGTATTAACCTTAGCAATAATATCAATATAATACAATAAGATCCGGCGGAATATACGGGCCGAACATGCGACTCACCGAAGGTTACGATTTGCCGAAATAGGCTGTGCCACATAAATACAGAGGCATTTGGAAAATACTCGTGATTGATTGTCGCTTGCGCGTTTTATCAATTTAAATATTATAAATACCATAGATCTAATTAGTATACCTGCTGTATTTAATACATAATTTAATAATTTATTATTGATTATTTGATTTCAAGGCGAGAAAAGTGAAAGAAAAATCAATATAAAATAGATATTGATTGCAGTAGTGACAATTCCGCAGATTGTATTCCGCCTTTAGTAGTTCAACCAGCTAAATATTCATCACTAGAATTCTTACCCGAAAAATTCTGTGCAAGATACAAAACACGTTACAAGAATTTTATGAAATGAATGAAAGCGGATAAGAAGATGTTTTTTCATTTTCTGAAAATGTTTTAATGACTTATGTGGTGAGTTATCTAAAAAATTAAACCAAACAGCTTATAGACCCAATATTGTATGCTACGAATCATGACGTTGATACAACCAAATATTGCAAATTGAAAGTACTGCTGAAAGGCAAGTCTGACGGCTACATTCCAAAAAAGGCAAAAACTTTGACCTCCGACCAAGTTAACAAATTTCTTCGTGAAGCTCCTGACAATCAGCATTTGTTTATTAAAGTGGCTATAATTGTTGGTCTTTCGGGAGCTCGTCGGAAGCAACAGGTATCTCAGTTTAAAGCACAAAACCAACTGATATAAAAGAAGCCCGTTTTTCCTTAAACTATCAGAAAGGAAAGTGTATCAAGAAACTGGTAGGTATCAACAAATTCGGGAATATACCAAAACAATAGCCATTTGTTTAAATTTACAAGAACCTGAATTATTTACGGGCCATTGCTTTCGAAGATATCAGCTACAATTCTTGTGGACACAGGTGACATAACGACACAAGCGACATGGAGGCTGGAAATCGACCGTTGCAGCAGAAACCTACATTGTCGAATCTATGACAAATAGAATGGAAATTTCAAACAAAATTTTGAATGCGATAAATGCAACTTCCGACACTTCAAAAACAGTACCGTGTATTCCAGGTGAAACAGAAACTGTGCAGTTGGTTCAGGAACAATCGTTATCCCATACTTTAAGGGCACTTGCATTTTCTATACATTTTTGTAATTGTAACAATAATTACTATAAATATTTTTAATGACGAAAAGCCTTAATAAAATGTTTCAGCGTATATAACAATATGTATAATAATATTGATACAACTTCTTATTAAAAATTGTTATTAATTTGTGTTTAGAAAAATAAAATATTTAGTAATGTGTTTCTTTTTTTTTACGTTGTGGGTTATATACTTTGTATTTTTTCTTGAATGATATCGAGTCAATTTCGAATATCGAATTTTTATTTGTATGACGCCAAATATTGCGTAGACCTAGGAGCAATATCAGCACAGGAAACACTGTACCCAACATTGATAAAAAACGCAAATGATAAAATTACATTTATCATAACTCTATGACTCCTCAACAATCGAGTTATGTTTGACATCGGCTTCAGTGGACTGTGACTATTTCAGTGGAATTTATTAATAAATTTAAGGAAGCAAAGAAGAAAGGAGTATCTCTTTATCACCGTAAGTACAGTTGTTTTTGTCATAGATTCTTCAAATATAGTGCAATATTTCTAAGCCGAATAAGTGTACAGGGAAACAAAGTAATTGTTGTCAATTTCAATATTGTGTTCAAACACTTTCCTGTTTTCTTTTCAAAACAGCGAAAGTATAAATAATTATTAATTTTTTTTGTATTACATAATACCAAAATAGACTACAATCAATTTTTATTATAATTACGATTTGTCAAAATTAAAAATGCCGACCTTTAGATTTTTAAATGCTAATAATTATTTAAAAATAAAATTAAATTTATGAAATTATTATCTTCAACATAATTAATAAAAAAAAATTCTGAATTTGACACATCTAAGTACTTTCTCTCCGATTTTTCTTCTTTCATTTTGTTTCTCTATTTAATTACCTATTGCTGATCGAAGAATTTTAGAATTTAAACTAATTGAAGTAATTTATGCTTGTAGATCAAACATGTACACATTGAGATCATTCTTGTTTCTGGTTTGCTTCCTTTTCTCCAAGAGTATCTGTCAAGACTACACCGTGACTCCCATAACAACAAGTTCAGGACTTTACTATGAAAAAATTGGTGAAGTTTTACTGTCAAACAGTAATTGGCAATTCGTGACCTCAGTGGATTACACAGGATACCTTTTGTTTTATAAATATTTGTTACAGCAAGCAAAGGAAATAGAGACGTTTTGTGAGACGCTCCAGTCGCCTATATGCAGAGAAAGGTGATACATTTTTTCTTAGAAGTAATTATAACTAAATTACAAAGGATATTATTTAGCATGTCTGTATATAAAACTGTCATGGAAAACAATTACGTGAACAGACCCATTTCAAATGGAAACAGCGTTGACATATATGTCACCTATAACTTACTGCATATACAGTATGTCTCATGGTGACGAGACATTAGACATATTACAGACTACTTCGATTTTAATTTTTAAAATTTGGGCAATAGTGTTTTCGGACATGCCCTTTTCAACTAAATTAATTCGTTGATAATAATAAACTGATAAACTGATTCTATCATCTATAATTTCATGATTTTTTAAGGTGGATGTAAAAGTCTTTTACATCCTATATATAAAAAACATTTGCGTTTTATAGACAAAAAACCGTCGTTTTGACACTTAATAAATTTCATGTAAAAGTCAGCTTTTAATAACGGTTTTTGAAAACAATGTATTTATTGTCTATTATATTCGTTTTTTTTTTTTAAATAAAACTTAAAGGGCTCTATTACGCTACATGACAAATTAGTTTATTATCAGCTATCAAAGATTGCTTACTATTTCTTATTCATTGTTAAATTTGACAAAATTTGGTTAATTTTTTTTATTTAGCTTTTGACTGAATTGAACCCGAATAACAAAAAGGTAAATAATTAAGCATTAAATAAACAATTTAATTTATTATAAACCGATAAAGCCATTAATATAAATTTTACAATTAGGAATATTTCCCCATGAAATTTGGTACTAACCCAATTGAAGAATAAAGTGGTGCAGTCAGATTTTAAGTAGAACAAATCGCTAACCAATTATTATCAAATTTATACAAGGAAGAAAAATTTTAAGTAGACTCTGATAACTGAAAATGAATTCAAATATCATGTAACATAATAGATTTCTTTAAGATTCAAGTTAAGAAAAAATGGTTTAAATTGGATAATAAAGACATATTTTACAAGGGTGTTCAAGTTTAAAATGGGTCACACTGTATATAATTAATGATACTTTAACTAACCGATTCATTTTCTAACCTATAATTAATTTTCTCATATTGATGATTTTTTGCTTTATAATTGCTTAAATTATAACTAACATCGTTACAAAAAATTATATTGGAAATTTTCAAAATTATCTTGGATCTGCCTAATATTGTAAAAACAGAAAAAATAATATGATAAAATTCGCAATTTGTTCAATTTCTAAGGGTATGAATTACTTTTTTAATTTATTATGTTTTATAATTTTTTTATAAAATATTTAATCATATATATTTCAGGTACAAATCCATTTTAGGTAGTTATAGATGAGTTTGCGATATAAAATTATTGACAAATTGTTGCATTTACTGTAAAATCGAGAAAAATAGTCTTAACAATGGATCAAGTCTCAATAGTCTCAACAATCATAAAATTAAAACGTAAAATATATTATCACAACTTTGTTATGTCGTCATTAAAGAGGTTTTGTGCAGGGTGGTCATTTTTTATCTACGCGAATAGACAACTTTAAACTAGAGTCAAGAGACAAACAAAATCGCTTTGCTACGAGGCTCCAGAGGTAGAATTTTAATAGAATAATTTTTACGATTTAGGGCTTTTTCATATGTTTTATACACCTTACCTAAAGTAATTTATCAATTTGGATTTTTTTTTATTAAGAAAAAAGAGCACTCATTCAAAGAGCCTCGAAATTAAGTGGCTTGGCGTCTCTAGACACTATTAACTTTCAATTCTTAGAAATTGGTTAAAGTAATAAAGGTGACAGAAATTTTTAGACAATTCCTTGCTATTTTGAAGACTGAGTAATTAAATAAGTTCAAAGCGTTTAAAGTTTACATGGGGGGTGGGGTGGTGGGGGGTGGTGGGGGAAGTGGGCAGGTATTCACAGTTAATTTTGATAAAAGCAATTGAAATTAGGGGGGGGTCTCTCGGCAACTGGCTAATATAGGGCAATATGCAATATAAACATTGTGTAAAATTTCTTAGCATCAGTAAATTGGGGTTGGGAAATATGTAAAAGTAAAAGTGTTTAGTTTTTTATTTTTTCTGACTTTTCAAACGATTCAGGAATCTAGACTCACACACTTATTCCAATTTTCAAAATAGCAATGAAAATTAAGAAGCAACTTATTAAGTGATGGAAAATGAACTCCCTGTAAACACTTAAAAGTAGGCACCGTATATATCTATGTGTACTGGTTGACAGGTATAACAGGATACAATCTAACTTGGACAAGATTGAGGAAACGGATGAATCAATGGCGAACTTTTTGGGAATCACAACTGAAACTAGAAGAGTAAAACGTTTTTGGTCTGAAATAGGTAGTTTTCTGTTAAACTTAGGTGGCGGAATAGTAAAATCAATTTTTGCTGGGGGATCTAGTAACGTTGACTTATCCGCGTACAATCGTGCTATCAACAATTTACAGAATGGCCAACAGGAATTAGAAAACCAATTGCTTCTTCAAAGAACGGTTTTTACGATAGACTCAGAGAAAAAAAACAAGGAAATTGCCCAGCTGAACAAAAATCAAGTTGACATAAAAACCAAAATCATTTCTCTAGAGCAATCATTCCAAATAGACAAGGACCAAAAGGAAAAAGAAATAAAAGAGTTGAAGAAGACGCTTGACGAAATAAACGTTAAAATTAAAAAGCAGGAAGAAAATCAAAAAAGGCTAGACGGAAAAGTGAGCGAGATTGAAAATAACCTCTTAGGTATTCATAACTCTATAAAGGAAATCAAAAGCGATGTTGCAAACAACACAAAACGTATTGATAAACTCCAAGTGATCAGCCAATTAAATATAATTTCTACCGATTTTATATTGTTGATGAATCAGTTCCAATCAGAACAACAAATTTTGTTTGAAGTGATAAAAACTGCAAATGCCGGACAGCTGGACCCATACATACTAACTCCATCCAAATTAACAGATATGCTGAGAGACATTCAAGAACACTTACCCGAAGGAACAAAATTTCCTTACTATCCTAACATTAAAAATGCCCAGAAACTATACAACATTATCAAGCCTTCCGTTTATTTATTCGATTACAAGGTAATTTTTATTCTTAATATACCTTTGGCGTACTCCAAAACGTTTAACTTGCACAAACTTACAAGTCTACCAGCAGTTGCTCAAGATAACAAATTTGTCTTTATTCTACCGCAAGAACCTTTCTTGATAATAGACAATAATTATCAAGATTATATGTTAATGTCGAAAGATAATTTTAAATCGTTCTGTTCTGATCTTGAAACAACTAAATACATATGTCAACAAGTTGGGGAGGTATTTCACTCCCAATACAGCGAAGAATGCGAAATTAATTTATTTAAGTCGCCGAGGCAGATACCGCAAACGTGCAACAAGAGAATCATGGCTTTAGACAAACCTATGTTCATTCAACTTCAACAAGAAAGATCTTGGATATATGCTGTTCCAACTGTTGAAAATATAATTATGTCTTGTGGCAACAATAGAACTACGGTAAATTTAATAGGAACGGGGTTTATTCACGTTAACGAACAATGTCTAGTTTTTATACAAAATGGGAAATCGTTATCATATTTCACTACGTTTACAAAACCTGTGGAATCGCATTTTTCGCCCTCTGTTAATCTCACCGACTTCATCGATATTAGTCAGGTTGATGGCATTGATACTCAGGGAGTGAAAACTATACAAAACATTTATCCATTTGACTTCAAGAAGCTAGAGGATGTTAGTTACAAAATTATAGAGAGTAAGGCAAATTTGATTCCCCTATATTGCACGTTATTTGTTTTGCTCCTTATCGTAAGTGTGCTTATATATTTAGTATACAAAAAGAAAATTACTTTAGATAAACTGAGCAGTATTTGGAGCATAAGGAGGCAAAGAACTCCGACGCAGTCAGGAGGCAGCGCAGATCCCGAAAATATAAAAATGAAAATTAAAGTGAAAAATGCCGATGATCTTCAAAACGTATCTATTTACGGAAAAACAAGTGATACTGATCCGGAATCGGAATATGTTACGGTCAAATTTAAAGTAAAAAAAGATGAGAATGAACCTTCAGTCTCACATAAGAAAATCATACAAAATAAGTTAGATTACCCACCAAAGAATTTACCACCAAAAGTTAATAAAAAGGATCAGAATGAAGCTTCGCTCTCACATAAGAAAATCGTACAAAATATGTTGGATTACCCACCAAACAATTTACCACCAAAAGTTAATAAAGAGGATCAGTATCTGAATGACTTACGAAAACTGAAACCAAAACAAGTAAACGATAAATATTGAATAAATCGGATTGTTTTTTTATAGCTTTATTTGCAGTTGACATAGATGTTTACTTTTAATGTTTGTATATAATTGTAATAAAAATTAAAATAAGTTCCAGTTTTTTAATCAATACATCTATAAGCTATAGCTTTAATCTATAGCCATAAGTTTTTGGTTGTTTTATTTCTGCTATTATGGCTAAACACCAACGCCATACGAGCAACCCCCAGACTGAAATTTTGCCGAACCCCTACTTTATCGTGGAATATACTTACTCACCTATACAAACCTCGTCTAATTGTAAATATGTATAGCTCCTGTAAATACACCGACATACAAGCCATTAGAAGCATCTGGAGGAGCATCGCGAGCCTTCTCCAGATGATCACCCATTCAAGTACTAACCGCGATCAGCCTTACTTGACCTTTTTTTTTGTTGTTAAGTCGGTCATGTGATAACTATTGTATAACCTCTTCGGTGCCTATATGAAAGTGAACATCGCAGCTTTCTTTGATATTGTCCATGGTACTAATTAGTTTATACTTATAATTTTTTCAGTTACCACAATTATTCCCTGCTACAGTGAAAAATTGCATGTTGCATTGTATCTACGAATAAAACGTAAACAAAATCAATCAATTTCTTGTGAGCTTGTATAAATATGAATCCATTAATAGTCAAAACACTAAATTTGGTACTCATACTTCAACTAGTTTAGAAAATATTAAAAAAAAAACATTGGCAATAGGTCATCCTTAACCTAATCGGATGTAATTATGTATTATACACATGTATATATAAACTTCTCTTAAGAAATAGTTAAACGTTTACAGAATACGTGCATCTTAGCAATAGAACAATCAGTGTAATTAAAATTATTGTTGACAGGTCTAGTGCAGTGCAAATCAGTATGAATAGAATAGCCGCTGTGAATGAAAGCATGGCAAACTTTCTTGGAGTCGATCAAATGGAAGGAGGGTAAAGCGTTGGGCCGTATATTCCCGATCCATTAGGGAAGGCTGTGGTGGGGAAAATATTTGGAGAGATGGACCAGCAGAAGCTCCCGGACTAGAACGGCTACATTAGAGATTTGTACAATTCCCAAAAAGAACTGGATTACAAATTGAACATGCAAATGGCTACGTTTAAAATTGACTCTGATCGAAAAGATTTTCAAACCAAGTGGCTTGAACGATCCCAGAGTGATTTAGAAAATAACATTTAAGATTTTACGGAATACTGTAACTATGAACGTCGAAGAGAAACAGAAGCAGATAAATAACTTGCAGGCAATGCTCGATGAAACTACACAAAAACTAAGAGTGCAGAGAGATAGACATGATAAATTTGAAACTGACGTAAAGGATATCAAGGATAAGTTAAAAACTATAAATGATGACATTAAAGATATTAGGAAAGAAATCAGTACCAATTCGAGGAATATTAATGATGTCAAAATAGAAGTCAAAATTAACTCGATTTCACTAAATTTAAATTTTCTGCTGTCTCGATTCGAAAGCCAACAGAAAACATTATTTGACGTTATAAAAAATGCAAATAGAGGACAGTTAGACCCTTATATTATAACACCTTTAAATTTAATTGAGATGCTGGAAAAATGCTCAGGCTATGCTGCCAGATAATACCAAATTTCCTGTCTACCCAAATTTCATGAACGCCCAAAAGCTTTATAACTTAATTAAACCAACTGTATACCTCTACAACAACAAAATTTTGTTTATTCTCTCAATTCCTGTGGTCAATAGAAAGACATTTAGTTTGTACAAAATGACAAGCTTACCTGTTTCACTGCAAGAAGGCAATTTTGTCTTCGTTTTACCCAAACAACCATATTTGGTGGTGGATAGGAGTGACCAAGGATATACAATGCTTTCGAGGGAAAATTTTCGTGAATTCTGCAGTAGTGTCAACAAAACCGTTTATATTTGTGACCAGATTCGTCAAACCTCTCAAGCGCGGTTGAGCTCAGACTGTGAAGTGACATTATTCCTCAATTCTAGAAATGTTTCCAACTTGTGCAACAAAAGACTTATGTACTTAGAAAAGCCTGTTTTCCTGCAGCTGCAGGAGCCTATGTCATGGATCTACGCCGTTTCAGAAGTTCAAAACTTGGTGGTTAACTGCAGGAACGACAGAAACACTGTTTCTTTGGAAGGAAGTGGCTTTATAAAAATGAACAGAAGTTGTTCCGTGCTTACATCTCAAAACTCTCTTTTTACAATTACTCGATTTACATCAACCGTCCTTTCAACTTTCTCACCTCAAGCAAACATTAGAAATTCCATCGATATGTCAAATATAAACATCGACAAGGAAAACAGTATGATAAACTACAGAGAAATGATATCGCCGTTTGAATATAAAGAACTGGAAGCTATGAGTACACGATACCAAAACAATTATGTTGAGAAAGCAATTGTATGGACATCTCCCACATCTGCCGTATATATTGCAATAATTGTAATTGGTTCTTCTGTACTCCTCATTTTACTCGTATATAAAAAGTTTTACTAATAGAAAAATTTGATGGATTGATAGTTTTACAGTGAAGAAAACACAATGCATCAAACTAACAAAAACATAGTTTTATGTATCGATTTCCAGAAAAATACACAAAACATACAAAAATTTGTAGTTAAAATTTTTATTCATCGTACGAATATCGGCTAAATATAAACATTTTGAGGATGACTAAACGGTATGCATTTTTGATAATTTCGGTTTTTATAATAAAATACAGTGTCCCAAAATGATGAAACAAAATTCATATTTTTTTCCAGTTGAAATTTAAAAAAATCGCTGAAACAGGTCAATTAGTAAATGAAACTAGGCGGTATCTGTTTTGGTTTGGGTGAATCGTATATCCACGGAGATTTTTGGCTTTTTGACTTTCAAATATCACTAGAAATGAAAAGTTTTCTATGCGCATAAAAAAATACGTGGTCTTAACTTTTAGCGGCACAATATGTTAAAAAAATTCGAAAAATGTCATATTTTTCTTCCTATTTAATTATGTATTTATTCAAGAGTTGATTTTATGCGAAAATGGAAGAGGAAAAAAATGTTTGTAATTAAACTTTTTACAAAATATGACTAGTTACAAATCGAACGAATCACGATTATTATTGTAAAAATCGAAAAAATCGGCAAAAATGGGATTAAAAAACATTACTTTTTAGGGATTTTTTTGGGATCTTTAAATTAGGTATAGAATATTCATACTTGGCTCAAGAAAACTTGTCATGTAGAATCATCTCACCAAATTTCATCAAAATCGGTTCGATAGATTTTGCATAATACTTTTGCAATCCAGATTTTGAAAAAAAATTGCAAATCTTCATAATTTTGCACAACAAAAACCACAGCCCTTAGATACTTGAAAATTTAATCACATATAGAAGGGCTCTCAAGCTTTCAAACGCTTTTTGAAAAATTCGAATCCGTCAATTAGGAGAGCTCTGGCGCTTGTTTAAACATTGTTATTGGAAAGGCGCTTCTTAAAAAAAAACCAGATCGATTGGTCAATTAGTTACGTACTTATAGCCGATTATTTACACTAAATGTACTGGGACATAAGGGCATATTGGACATATTTTGAAAATAATTGTTGTTTAAACAATTTTATAATATTTAAATAAATTTGTTTTTGATCTTTGATAAACAGTATATACGTTTATGCACTTACCTTTGAAACAATAAAAAAATAAAGTTGATAATTAAAGGAAGTTTAAAGATTAATAATTATCGGACTGTTGAAAAACCAATAATTATTAATGATAGGCATTTGAAAATACGCTAATTGTTTTTACTAATCGCGAGACATCGATTAAAAAAAAAATCATCAAAATCGGACCTCTAGAAGGTTAAGGAAATTAAAAATTTTTAAGCGCGTAGCGGTTTTGAACTAGCCGATTCAATTTCGAGCAGGCCGAAGCGTCCGCGTTCTCTCCTTCCCCCACCACCACCACCCGTACGATTTTCTTGAATTTCTCGCTTACATAAATAACTTTAAACACGTTTTAATGTAGGTTGCCAATGAAGGAAAGTATTGCAAACTTAGACCTGGTAAGTACTCGGAATACCAAAGGTATTTTTCGAAAAATTAGCCCGGATGTCCCAGTACATTTAGTGTAAATGACGGTTATCTTTGGTCGGCTATAACTACGTAACTAATTGACCAATCGATCTGTTTTCTTTAAAGAATAATAACGTTCAAAACCTGCTTTAAAAAATTTGATTTGGCTGAATATTCACAAAGTTATTTTAATTGTTTATAAGTTCAAAAAATCGACCAATGTTTAAACAAGCGACAGAGCTCTCCTAATTGACGGATTCGAATTTTTCAAAAAGCGTTTGAAAGCTTGAGAGCCCTTCTATATGTGATTAAATTTTCAAGTATCTAAGGGCCGTGGGTTTTGCTATGCAAAATTTAAAAAAATTTCACATTTTTTTCAAAATCTGAATTGCAAAATTATTATGCAAAATCTATCGAACCGATTTTGATGAAATTTGGTGTGTCGATTCTACATACCTAACATGAAGTTTTCTTGAGCCAAGTATGAAGGTCCTATACCCAATTTAAAAACCCCAAAAAAATTCCCTAAAAAATAATGTTTTTTAATCCCAATTCTGGCGATTTTTTCGATTTTTACAATAATAATCATGATTCATTCGATTTGTAACTAGTCGTATTTAGTAAAAATTTTAATTACAAAAACTTTTTTCCTCTTCCATTTTCGCCTAAAATCAACTCTTGAAAAGATACAGAATTAAATAGGAAGAAAAATATGACATTTTTCATTTTTTTTAACATTTAACAGAAAAATTTTCATTTCTAGTGATATTTGAAAGCCAAAAATCTCCGTGGATATACGATTCACCCAAACCAAAACAGATACCGCCTAGTCTAAATAGACCTGTTTCAGCGGTTTTTTTAAAATCTGATCTGGAAAAAAATATGGATTTGCTCCATCATTTTGGGACACACTGTATATATTTCACATGCAATCTCTATCTGTGGAGGAAGCAAGTTAGCAAACAGCTCCTTGCGGTCGGTCGGCCTCAAGAAA